TCAATTATAAGACTTTAACATTAGAATCTGTTTGAATGATTGGTAGCAGTATACTCCATCATCTCCATCATTTCGCGTTTGTTCGATTCCAAGATAAAGTTTGTTCCCCCGCGACAAGCCTGGAAATCCCACATGAGAGACCGCACACTACCATTGTTAGGATTCCCTTCCCAGATTTTGCTTCCCAACTCAGCTTGTTCAAGATCAGTGATCATTATCCGATCATCAACCTCGAATATATTGTGCAATGTAGGATCCCCATGAATCACTCCGTACTTAGTTAAGCCCTTGAAAGCTTCCTCCAACTTCGCTTCGAGGATATCGAGGAAATCGTCATCATTTTCCGGCCGTGCAGTCGAATCGTAAAGTCTTTCCCCACGAATCTCTGATAATACAAATGCCGGAGATCCATCGTAGAATGCTTCTCCATAGAAATATGGGATAAAAGCCCCTTGGAGTGGTTTCAAATAACGATACATACGCTTTTCTGTCTCGAACTCTTCGTTCCAACCAAACTTTTGCTTTTTCAAAATGACAATCGATGGTAGGAACCATTGAGGATAGATAGCTTTCAGTGATGGAAGGAAATTGATGAGCCGTTCGATCGCGTTTGAGACATGAATATTATTGAAGATCCATGGCTTCTTGAGTGTTAATCGATAAACTGTTCGATCCGGATCAACTCGGTCACAATTTGTTGCGATGATTTTTTTGTGACCCATATAGAATTCCTTTCAAAATTAGTGTTTCGAATTGGAGGATTCTATAAATTATCTTACCAAAGGGCCACTGACCGCGTCAAACTCTTGTGTGAAACATGACATCGATAGCGGATTCGAGGATGGTAGCGGGTATGTTAACGCAAGTGGAGGAGAAGGTCCAGATAGACTTAGCGAAGGCCGCGAATGTGAGTTGAGAAGATTTTCACAATTCATTGTATGATCATGATGACCATGCATTCATGATATTAAGTGTTGAGGATACTGAAAAGTTCAGAAGAGGAGAGATCAATTACTTATAAATTATAAATTAAAAACTGATCAAGCCTTGTTTGTACAAACAAATATGCACGTTCCCGGCCATAAATTAGGGTTGTGAAACTGTAAATTGCCACCATCAATCATATGGATAGCCTGACTGTATCGCACTCTAAATAATTGATCATTTTGTCCCTCCAAGATCATCTCTGATTTACATTATCAGATTGCCGACTTGCATCCATCGTGATGGTTTATCGTTTATCGTTTTCTCGCCAGTTACCATATTCCTCCAAAAACGGCCGGCCCGACCAACGCTCAAACTCCCGGTTACAACCGCCAAGCGAGACTCTCCTTTGTTGCTGTCAAGCGCATCTACCCCCATCATATTAGCCGATAGAGCTCATACCTTACAGGACAAAGTGATGCATCTCCTCCTGATTGTGGGGGACACCCTTACAGTCAGATGATTTGATATTGTCTCCGGTTTTCGTACAGAATTGAAGTATCAGGAACCACACTCCGTTATAAACAGACACTGTGGAGGCAAGGGTTATCCACCTTTGATTACATAATCTTTTATCTGATAAGACATTATAAATAGTTCCTTTCGTAGTTAACTTTCTAATACTATTCCTTTTCCACTTAATGTAAGAATACCCAACCTCTCAACACTTGCAGACAATCGTAGATATAAGCGTTCCGTGGATGCTAGTTACCCTCCAAGTACTGATTTATCAGAAAGAACAAAAGTTCGCTGTTGTAGATCCAACCCAAGCAAGAAGACCATCATATCCACATGAAACCTCTCATATTTGTCACAATTATCATACGCCTGTATACGATAACATAGATTTGCTTACTGGTGTCTTCAGGGACATAGGTGCCTTCAGTGTCTTCAGAGATTAAGGTATTTTCCAGATATGGGTTTATTGGTTTATAAAAACTCTCTCCAAAAAATCTTCGTTCGTAATTATTGGTGAAGAAGAGAAAGAAGAGGAATTTGAGAATGCCATGGTCTAATTTAGAAAGACGTACTAGGTAGTTTTAATTCATCTATAGATAATACAAGAGGTTAACACGCCTCATTTTCCAGCCTTTTTTGTAGAGTCAAAAAGAGGATATTCAACAACACAGGTGACATAAATAGAAGAGTTGAAATTAAACCTCTACAGGGAGAATGATAAGTGATCAAATGGCATGGAGCTGTGAGAGCCTCGGGTAAGTATCTATACCCGAAACCAATCGGATTGATTTAACCGCCAATGCATACGGATCTGTACTAACCTCTTTTCATAAATCATCTGGGGTACTGAATGAAAATAATTTAGTGCGAGCAGAGCTGAAAAAGATATTGAACAGCATTTATTATGATCCTGTTCCAACCCCTTTTTTTCAAATCATCTGGGATAATGAGTGATTACTATTTAGCACGAAGTGAGCTGAAAGAGCTTATCCTCAACAAAATTAAATTAAGTAGCATGCATTGTAATCCTGCACTAACTTCTTTTTTGTAAATCATCTGATTATCGCCAACCCTGTTTGGTAAATGGTCTGGGGCCCTGAGCAAAACAATTTCTTGCAAGATAAAGCCCCCTATGAATGTGTTGTCAATCTCCACACCAAGCTGGTTTTTCAACTTGCCGGGGACACTCTGAACAAAAATTATATATTGCCAGGATAGCTGAACGGATCAACTCGCAGGAAATCACAGTGTACACTCCTTCTTCACTCTCAAAATGTCGGCCGATAGGTATACTGTGGGTAGCCTCATCCAACAATTAGAAAACTACGATGAAAAACAAACCCTAGAATCTTTATTGGAACGGGAGGAGGTATGTTATCCCCCTCTATAGGAAAGCATGGGGAGATGTAACTTAGTTCGCAGTTTACAAGTCTTCTCCATGGCATTTACACATCCCTTTCAACCGAGTCGAAAAGCACCGCCCAAGAAGTGTTTCGCAAGACCAATGTAACCAAAAAGAAAAGGACTAAAAGTACAGCATTGGTAATAATTCTTGGGATTCACAACATTGCTCTACCCCCCAGCATACAAACTCAATATCAGATATGGAAGGAGAATCCATCACAACTTTGGCGGGCCCTTGATGGCCAAAATTCCGAACAATCAATCGAGGTTGCCGCTATTGAAGCATACCTTGTAGCTCAACATCTCCGTCTGCGACAGGTGTATAATGTCATCCTTTGGAGGTTCTACGTGAGCTTCTTTTACCAACTCGCATTGTTGTTAGGGCATGGGCAAAAGGTTATGACGAATAATTTGCATAACATTCTCTATGAACGTCTCGTCAAAGCAATCACACAATCCAAGAAGATCAATGATGACATTACCGTCATCAAAGCGAACTTACAACTCTGGGTAGCGGCGGGGGCTAGGTATAATAAAATATGTACGGCTCTCGATAAAGGCGCATTGTTCTTGATTCCACAGATACCAGATGATGTGTAAGCCGATATCTTTTCCTCCCCCATAAAACTAGCATGCTAATCGTCTAGATGGGAGAATCCAAACTCTTTAAAAGGTGCAGAATTCGATGAGGCAATGTCCCATTTGAAAAGCCTAGGTATTACGACGCTTTCGGATCAGCTTGGGGCCGATAATGTTGCCAACCAAATTCTGAATTCTGCGCTTGATCCTTTTCGATGGGATGTAGTAACGACACTTACTGTCAATCAACCTATTGAACCAAGGACTTCCTTTGCTATCGAACCGAGGGCTTCTGCTGCCAATCTATCTGTGGAACCAAGGAGTTCCTTTGCCACCTCATCTAGAGAACCTATGACTTCTGCTGCCAGTCTACCTGTAGAACCAAGGACTAACGTCAAACCGAACTCAATATCTTCACTTTTAAATCCAGCATAGTCAACACAGGAGTCACACTTATCTCCAACTGGAGCTTTAACAGAGCATCCTGGTGCACCGAGGGAATCACAATCAGAGCTGGTGTCTCGGAAAGGGAATTGTGTTAACCCAATATCAACTGCATCCCGCTCGAACTTATCAACCCCAGAAAAGCATGGTGAATGCTGTTTGTCTGAATTAAGCTAACGATCGTTTTTGGAACATGTCTTTTCGATGGTGTGATGGAAAGCTGTAAGAGACATCAAGATTTTATGATGGAATATACTAATGCTGTATCTTTGCATGCTCTGTATGTGAATCGGGTTTTATGATGAAGGTATGGGTATGTTCATCTGTTGGGAAGGATATTTTACAGGCCAAACACAGTGGGATCAATTGAGGACCTCAGAGAGCTACGAACTCGGTTATACACCAATCAAGGGTGGGTGTAGAGGCTAGCCTATGCAGACAACAGGAATTGAAACAGGAAAAGTCAAATGGTATTTGTGCAGTCAAGAAGTTATTCAACAATGATATCGGTACGGATCATAAGGTGGGAATAATGTTGGATTTCTACATTGGTGAATCCATGATATTTGATATATTGTATTGGTGATGAATAGATAATCAATCCAAATACCTACCCAGAACAGAAAGTATATAAGTCTCGTGCTGTTGGTGGAAAAGCCGAGAGTGATGTCTTATCTATGTTCCCATCCTCGAGTTCTGCAAGTGGCTCCTCAAGCGAGAGAGTTCGTGACATTTTCGACAAAATAAGTTGAGGATTTGAAACTAATTTTTGGAAAATGATGAATGGTTGGAAATATGATTTCTAGATGTTCTAAGTACAATACGAAATATAGATAAGAAGCGAAGAGAAAGAAATACATTTGTCGGATTACAGGATCAGAGAGAAAGTACTCCAACTGGGTTTAATCAGAAGTTTGTTAGTCGATTTCCGACTAATATCTGAATCCTGGCTTTAGGAATTAATATTTCGAATTGGAAAATGAAAAAGTCACTAAAAAAATGAATCTCTATTACGAAAATGAAGATATAAAAGTATCAATGTACAGAAAATAGCCGCAAAAACCCAGGTTCAAAGCAGTGATACCCGAGCATGAATATATTTCCAACTACCTATGCCCTATCACCAAATGGCACCAATGGTTTAGTGGTAAAATCTGCGCTTCCCACTTCAAGACCCACGTCTCGTTGAGCCTGCGCAGGCCACGGGTTCGATTCCCGTTTGGTGCAATACAGTCTTGATTTCTTTTGCTTTTTGCACCTCATTATCTAAGAGGACTTGGGGGATTGAGGACTTGTCGTCATCGTTGCGAATAGAGTCTTTTTTGGGGGGTTGATGGTGATGTGGTGTGTGGTGGGATTGGCTTGTGGGGTAATTGTGGCGGGGCTGTGGAGGTGAATTTATGTTTTGAGTTTGGGACCCCACATTCCTCTTTCGTAATTGGACATAAAGAGTTGAAAGAGTTGAAAAGGTATAAGTTTCAGGGTATTGGTGGAAAGAGTTGAAAAGGTATAAGTTTCGGGGTATTGGTGGAAGTGGATGTTTTGAAGAAGATTTGGGGAAGATTGTGGGAATACTGGGTATTAACAATTATTCTATTTCTAGACATAGAGAAAAATACTAGAAGAAAGCAACGTGTATTGTTTTGGTGCAACCTTAAGGAGGTTTGGGGTGAACAGTCAGTGATAACCTTTCAGAGTTGATTGCAAGTTGCCTTTCATAGGAAATGGGTTCAATATCTATAAAGTAATGGGAATCATTACTCATTCATTCACTTTGCATTACTCTTAATGAAGAAATTATGACAATACCTTGGCATCAATCTTAATCATTTGATTTTTCCAAATTTTCGGTTTTGGTTATATCTATTCCTTATTCAATTGATAGGATATTAGATCTGTTTCTAAGGAGAAGACTTGGTTGAAATGCTGTCTGCTAGAAGCCAGCAAAGCACATTCTGAAGATCATTTCTCTTTGAATTTCTAGTATTCAAGTTGTATACAGCAAGAGACTCTTTTCTGAGATCTCTCCCTTTTATAGTCTTTAAGTTTAACCTCATCAAATAAGAGATGGCTTTTGGGAGAACTTTTATTCTTTGAGTTGAAAACAAAATTGAACATTGAAAATAAGTAGCAGCATTGTCCATCCTGATGCCCAAGTAAGACCGAGCTCCGATGAGTGTAGAGCTCACAAGAAGATAAATCTACCTAGCATCTATTCACTTTAAGAAGACAATGCTTACAATGCTGAGTTCCTCAAAGAATTATACTCAGTCATACTGACTAGGTCATACTGACTAGATATTTTCTTTTGGAATACGTTGGTTGTAACTCGAATTTCCTAGCATATTCCAGCCATAGATTTATAGCTTACTCTCAATATTGCATTGGTTGTTTATTCATCAATGCTTTCACATGTACAATATAACAAGATATGATATCACTAAAACACCTCTCTGAATCACTGAATGGAAGGTACGAGATCACTGCATCCTTCCAGCCTAATATTGCTTCACCAAGGCAAGTGTTGTATGGCCTTCCATATGTAGCAAATGCCAAGATTCTAATTTGACTCCAATTTGTCCCAGTAAATGAAGTGTTAAAATGAGATATGCCACAAGTCTTTCCAGCTTCCCTTCATACACAATTGCCCAAGGCCCGAAATCTGGGAGACCATCAGTTATTTCTACATGCAGGCACAATATAACCGGTCCACGTTATGCCCCAATGCAATCCCGAGCTCATATATTCCATCCCCTTGCATACCTACACCCAAACTCCTCCAGCAAGCAAGCCGCAGCCAATATCCCCATAAAAATGACATGATCGCAAGCAGCAAATTGCAAATTGCACTAGAGTATATAGAACATGTTCATGGTCGCGGTGCATGTGCTGCATGTACTGTATTGGACGGGAAACGCTCTTTTGGATCCTTTTGTTGGATATATTTCGCTAGATCGAAAATTGCCGTCTTCAGCAAGTGAGTAGATTCCGAGCAAGATGAGCCAAAAAAGCAAAAAGAAGCATACAACAGTGGGGATTCGCTGGTGGTCACCCACCCAACTACTAATCCACCGATCTGAAGCTTGTGTATGGCAGAGCGGACGGGATGCCCAATTCTCTTCAGTCTATGGTCGTATGTGACCGTGCCTTCTTTGAATTGACTTATAAAACCTGATTCACTAGTACGCATACGTCCGCTATCACAACCTCATCAAGATCCTCCCTCAAAGATCTCATGGCATCATACACCCACATAACTAGCGAAGGAATCAGGAGCAAAAGCTAAAACAAAAATATGAAACACATACATGATAACAACACCACTGGTTGAACAACCAGCCAATGTATGAGTACGTACTATATATGAACTTGCCAAGTGACACATCAAGTATCGTTCATCGCCATTCGTCATTAACTCACTTAGCTTATCAGCTCACTGTATCAGCCAAGCCGTAGTAAGTAAATAAGAGGAATCTGGGGGAAATCGCGATTGAGATCTGGGAATAAGGTGGGTAAGCCTTGTTACTAAGAACAAGCTTCTATAAACAAACAATACAAAAGTAGAGGTTCAGTCCGTCGTTTCGATTCAAAGTATCTCCTCCTTCCACTCGCAGAGCGGTGCCCGAAATTATTATTCATGAACATGGATTGCTCTGGCATTGGTTGGTATTAGTTGAAAGCACTGTAGTTGTCACATAATCAACAACAGTACAAATTCATGGTATATCATTTTATTTCTCCATCTAACTAAAGTGTACTACCGTCAGACTCGAAAGCATGTATGCCAAAAAAAGAATGAAAAAGAATGAACTTTGTGTACAGTAAAGGGTCCCTATGTGCAATCAGTGGAATTATAGGCAGGGGGTTAGGCTTGTGAAGAAGCTCCTGCATAAAGAAATCAGCAATGTTCTCGAACGTTTGCCTGAGATGCTTGAATCGAGTTTCAAGTCCGGAACATCTTGAATACTTGGATTATGTATTGAAATAACGATGTGCTTGCTGCTTCGGTAGTCGAAATGTCGGTGAGGTTTTCGAAGGTATGTATGCCTATCGCATGGAGATTTCTGTGATAAAAATCTACTCATTATTAGTCTTGTCATACAAGAAGGGAGATTACCTCTTACCAGATACGACCCTAATTCAAATGGGATGTAGGCCATAATTAGCATCTCAAATAGCCTTTGTGCGAGAGAACAAACTGCTGTAGACTGCATCCACAACAGGAGTAGCGCTAATCATTCGTCCACCAAAATATCTGCCATTTAGACCCTTAATAGCATTCTCTCCTCCTTGTACTCGATCGAATTTGAGATAAATATCTCCTTGGGAGTTCGGATCTAAAGCAATGTGAACAACGTGGCCATATTTTTCTTCCGCTTCTGCGCGAACATCATCCTCGAGTTCTTTTTCCCAATTCTCACCGTCCTCTCTGTAAATTTGGTTAGCAATGGGTTGACAGAAGAGAATGTATTACTAACTCTGTAGGATCGAACATATTCTTGAGTACAACACAGCGGCTAGCCATGTTGACATTGACTGGTAAAGCTTTGATCTCTGTTTTAGGTTTTGATACTTCTCGTCTCTCGTGGTTCGCCGCAGTCGTGGTATCATCTGTTCTGGCGAGTTTTCTCATCAATGCATCTCGACTATAATTGTTGAAGTTTACGCCGCCAACGTCAGTGTCGTCCAAAGCACTAGCACCACCCGCACCTTTATCATTATCACGACCACCAGCACGATCGAAATTACTACCACCAGCAGCGGTAGGACCACGCCCACCAGCGCCGGAGAATGCGGAACCCTGGAATTGTTGTTGGTGGCTTTGGCCATGGAATCTTTGCAGAAGACTGGCGGTAGATTCAGGAGTGAACTTATCGTTTCCAAGACCAACACGGATTGGTCTACCAGCAAGATCGAATCCATTCATCTTCTCCAACGCTTCTCTAGCTTGATTTGGATCACGGAATCTATTTTAGTCGTTAGTATAGCTACACAACCTTTCATAGAAAAAGCTTACTGGACAAATCCATAACCTCGACTACGTCCTTGCTCTTCTTTTTGCAATTGGACAAATTCGAGCTCACCAAATGGCTCAAACACATTCTGTAAATCGGCTTCAGTGATGCTGAAATGTATATTACCCACATATAGTCGATGGAATGGAATTTGGTTAGGGTTACTAGTGGTAGCCTCGGGGTTGCGAACTTGTCGATTCTTCTCAGCCTCGGTGAGTTGTGCAATAATTGGGATTCCTAGGAGTCTCTGTCCAGTGAGTTGTATAGCGGCAGGAACTGATTCTTCGTTTTTGAACTCAACGTAGCCAACACTGTGCGAAATTAGTAAATGAGTCATTTAAAGGAAATTGCAAACTACAAAACATACCCTTTAGATCTACCACTGACTCTGTCCTTCACAATCTGAGCCTCCTTGACGGGGCCAACCTTTTCAAAGAATGCTATGAGTTCCTTAGTTCTGAGACGAGCTGCTAGTTGTTGTACAAAAACGGTGCGCCTGTCTCGTTCATCTTCAGTCAGGGGAGGTGTGCCTTCTCGTTTCGGACTTCTAGGTCGGCGTTCCTCACGAGGCTTGTCTGCCTCATCGCGATCACGGCGATCACCTCGTGGACGGTAATATCTATCAGGACTTCTAGATCGTGAGCGTTGACGACCACCACCCCTACCTCCCCTATAATAATCTCCATCCCTGCGGCCGTTTTCTTCAGGGGTATCTCTACGGCGACGTGGGTGTCGACGATTATCATCCCGACTTCTGCTTCTGCGCCTACCCTTTGCGCTTCCATTCTCACTTATTGGAGTTGAAGTGCCGTCTTTCTCGTTTCTATCTCTGCTGCGAGCCCGGCGTTTTCGGTCTCTGTCGCGATCTCTGCTATCATCGCGAATTCTATCGCGGTCGCGTTTTTCACTGCGTTCACCCTTGTGGCGATCATCGGATTCCTTAATCTTAGCAGATCCATTTTGCTCGACAGGAGTAGCAGCTGCGGTTGAATCCAAGAGGGCTTCAACATCTAAGGCGGACATGGTGAAGGTTGTTACTCGCCTGAGAGTGGACAAATTATGGTTTCGATGTTATTGTTCAAATGTTTGTTCCGAAAATTGGTACCTGGTAATTTAGAAAGACCCAATTTGATAGCTAAATGCTCTTGGAGCTTTACAGAATGATGGATATTAATCAGAAGTAGAATTATCGTCTTGTGCAAGTTAAAGTGG